GTGGGTCATAGAGGATCCTGCTGTGATTTATGTCGGAGAGTGTTTTGCCTATGTTCTCCTCTAGGAGTTTTATAGTTTCTGGTCTTACATTTAGATCTTTAATCCATTTTGAGTTTATTTTTGTGTATGGTGTTAGAAAGTGTTCTGGTTTTATTCTTTTACAAGTGGTTGACCAGTTTTCCCAGCACCACTTGTCTTTATCTTTAATCTTATTAAGCAAATGAAATTATAAAGCATACACTTTTTGTCTCTTTCTCATCCTATAAGTTCTACACGAAGTAAAAAAAAAATTTAAACTCCCTTTAATGCCAAAATACAGTATTTAACATTTTCTTCTGCCATTGGCGGAGAAGAAAAGTAGTATTGTGAAAGACACTAGAAGGTACTGATTTAAAAGATTATTTTTGTCCAGTCTAAATCTATGAGAATAAAATGAGAAATGTTGAAAATTACCATAAATTGTAGAAAATATACCTCATTTTCATGTTTATAATATAGTACTATTTTCCTTCTGGTTCTATGTTCCATTAGGTTTGTGATAAAGGACATTTAGTTCAAAGACACAAAGAATCAGTTTCTGATGTGACAGGTAATGTTCTGCTTTTACCCTTTGATAAATGATTAATTCCTCAAACACTTTTTTGCACTACAACTTTACTGTGCTTTGTGCTCGGGATATTAAGAATATATTGTACTGTTTCTTACACCTTAGGAACTCATCATTTAATAGGGGGAGACAGACAAACAAGTTAAGTGCAGTGTTAACAGGTGCAGTGCCTGCAGTCTGGACAGGGTGCCTAGGAAGCACACTGAGGGTTGGGCTGAGTGGCCCACATACTTGAAAGAGAGCCCTCATTTGAAAGGTTTTTCCCCAAACAGAATATAGGGGTTTGTGTTTAAAAAACATCATGGTCCTTTTGTTTCATAAATTAATAAAGGATGGGCCAAGAGAGAAATTAAATTTTGGACTACTCATTTGCTTCTGTGAGAATCTGCTAAGTCTGATATAGATATAAATCTCTAAGAAAAAAATACCAGAAATGTTAGAGATTCAGAGATTTATATTCTGTTTTTTTTTTCTTAATTTTTATCTCATTATCTTGAGGTCCTTTGGAAAATATTCATGCAATTTAAACATTTTAATTTCATCTAAAATAGTTCTTTAATTTTACGTTGAATATTTTTTAATACATTCACACCACACTTATTTTGAAAAAGGATCTCGGGTGATGACTAAAAGCATGTGTACATGCTTCCCTGGTGGCTCAGACAGTAAGGATCTGCCTGCGATGCCAGAGACCGGGGTTCCATCCCTGGGTCGGAAGATGCCCTGGAGGAGGGCATGGCAACCCACTCCAGTGTCCTGCCTGGAGAAACCCATGGACAGGGGAGCCTGGCGGGCTACAGTCCATGGGGTTGCAAACAACTGAACAACTAAGCACAGCCCAGCATGAATGCACATAAATCCATTTAGTTTATGATGCGATTGTGGTTATTCAGTCGCTAAGTTGTGTCCAACTCTGCAACCCCATGGACTGCAGCACTCCAGTGCCATCTCTCACTATGTCCCACTGTGATGCAGCAGGATAATTAAAAATAGAAATGGAAATAAAAACCACACCTAAGAGGGAATTCTGTTATAATTAAGATGGTTACTTCATTGAACTTTAAATTCTTTCTTGTAGTAATAAGCCAAGAAAAACTGTCACTTTTGCCATGTAACTTTTATATATTCTTCTTTTAAATTTAATGTCAGAATTTAAAAATAAAGAACATATTTAGAATACTTATTTTAGACATTTTTTCTATACATGTACATTCCATGTTAATCACACAGACTAATCTTCAGGGTTTTTTTGGCAAGATTTAAATGTTTTCATTTAAAATCACAGTGTATTATTAACTTCTGTCAATGTTAATAAATGGTGGCAAAGTATTTCATTGTATTAGTGAACCTTAATTCATTTAGATACCCTCCATTGTTAAAATTTTATTTTGATCATGTTTTTTTCTATCATAAACAATGAAGACTTTTTAATTCACTATTTGTATATAATTATTTATCTGTAATAGATTCCTAGAAAGGAACTGCTCACCCAAACAGTAGGAATATTTTTTAGACCTTACCTATAAATAGAGTCGAACACGACTGAGCGACTGAACCGAACTGAACTGATAAATATCTAAAATGCAACAAAATTCATAAGATATGAGAACTGTTTGTATTAATTTCATTGAGCTAAACTACTATTTACACATTATTTGCTAGCATACTAGCATTTTCATTTATAAAAAGATAAAAATGCGAAATGTAAGTCAACGAGCTGTTTTCTTGCTGCTAATGGACTTTTACCATCTTTTCTAGATACAGGGCCTTCTATATCAGATGACTGTATATTTGATTATTTCAGAAGACAGCTCCCTAACCAAGGTTTGTAAGATGGGAATATAGACAGTAATGAGAGTCTCCTATCATCTGAATGTGAGCTATTTAATAATATGTATCTGGTCACGATTTACACATAAGAAACTAGAAGATTATCTTCAAATCAGATTGCCAAAGAACAGTTCACCTTCCCAGAAATTCTGTATCTCAAATTTTGATTTTTCTAACTCTAGAAATATATAGAAGATAGTAGAACTTCCTTATATGTCAATTTGATTTCCAGTAATTTTACCAACTCGGAAACAAAAAGACCATTCATCTCATTGTCTAATCTTTTCATTCCCATCTCACCGAATCTTAAAGCAGAGAGAAGCCTTGAAAGTTCCCTACTCTCACCTCCTACAGATGACAGGACCCAAGCACATGCAACCTTTGACTGACAACACTTGGTGACAAGCAGTTTACCAAACTGCAGTTGATTCATTCCACTGCTTGAGAGCAATGCTCTTTTTATGTTGAGTTTAAAGCACATGTCCCTGTAAATTTTAACTCACCTCTTTAACAACATAGAGCAAAAAAAAAAAGAAGAAACTTTAAAGGTAAACATTTCTGATCAACTCATTTTCCCTAATCCTCCTTGCTTATTAAGAACAAATGTATTGCCTCTTCCACATGACAGATCATAAATATTTTTTAAAGCTATTATTTATTTACCTGAAATTTTCCTTTCCTTTCTTTCAGCCATCCATAATATGATTCAAGTCCTTTTACTATCATATTTTACTCTTTTCTGTCACTACTCAAGCTTGAAGGAAACTGAACACAGTATTGCAGATGTCATCTAACCAGGACAGTCATTCCTTGGTATTTGAGGGGGAACTGGTTCCAGGAACCCCACAGAGACCAAAATCTGAGGATGCTCAAGTCCCTTATGTAAAATGGCACAGTATTTGCATACAATCCATGCGTATCCTTCAGTAGCTCTAGATTAATATAATACTTAATACAGTGTAAATGCTATGTAAACAGTTGCCAGTGCACAGCAAATTCAGGTTTTGCTTTTGAGAACTTCTTGAAATTTTTTTCCTACTATTTTGATCCACAGTTGGTTGAATGCAGATGTGGAACCCACAGATACGGATGCCTAACAATACACAATAAATTGTCTTTCTCATTTGCTTCTTTCTAGATACCAGATTCACATTAATGCAGTCTAAGATTACACATGTTCTTTTGAAAATTATCCTAAAATACTGACACGCTGGACTCACAAACACTCAAACCTATAAAGTTTTATTTTGATACTGCCACTATGTCTCCTCCATTCTCTTCAAGCTTCAGTTTTGGTCTGGTATTTTGGTCTCGTGTACGGAGTCTTAAATTTATTCTTATTAAACTAAGTCTTCTTCGATTCAGCCTTTCATGAACTCGTTCTTGATTATGTCACATTGTTGTACCACACACACATGTATATACTTTATACACACACACATTATCTATACATATATCTGACCTCTGGTCAAAGCTTCAGCCCCTTATATTTAACTATCTGCTATGTATCTTCACATAAATGTCCCTCACAGCCAAATTCTAATTCATCTAATCCCACACTGCATGCTGTTCCTTGTGTATTCACTGTATCTTTGGTAACAAGTATATCTATGTAATACCAAGCTAGAAAGCTGATAAGTTATCTTTTTTCTTCTTTCATTTCCACCACTCATATTTAGAGAGTCACTGAATCCAATTGATTTTACCTCATAATCCCTTTTATCTTCATCTTAACTACCATCATTCTTTTCAGACTCATCACATATTTATCAGAAGCACTTTAGTTTCTAAGTGGTCTCCTTGCCATCTTTGTGTGTGTGTATGTGTTAAGTTGCTTCAGTCATGTCTGACTCTATGCAACCCCATGGACTGTAACCAACCATGCTTCTCTGTCCATGGAATTCTCCAGGCAGGAATACTGGAGTGAATTGCCACGCCCTCCTCCAGGGGAATCTTCCCGACCCAGGGATCGAACTCGGGTCTCCTGCATTGTTTCCCTGATGAGCCACAAAGACATAAAAGCCAGTACTGTCATCCTAATTCTACCTTTCATACTACCATAAAGTAATATATCAAAAACAGAAATCTGATTAATACCACTGTCTAAAATAAAGCGTGTCAGTAATTCCCAGTTTTCTAACAGTGGTTGAAGTTGGCACAGTCCTGAGATTTAAATTTGTTCTAGGCTTTCTCTTTTCAATTTTTTTAACTTTTAATTTTTAAATAATTTCAAAAAGTACAAAGAACTATATCTATCTACCTATCTAGCTATATTTCCCCCAAGTCCATTTTTTTAATAAATATCATGCTCCTTTATTGCTAAAGAACTTCAGCATTTATTTTCCAAGAACAAGAATAGTCTCTTAAGGAAATTCAACTTTGATACAATACTATTTTGTATCAGACTGTACTTAAGTTTCGCCAAATGTACCAGTGTCCATTAGAGCAAAACTTCTCCCTTATTCAGTTTCATGGATTGCATTTAAATGCCATATCCATTGATTCTCTTTTAATTTGGAGCATGTACTCACTTCTTCCCTGTCACTCACAGCACTGGCATTGTGAAGATTATGAGCCAGTTGTCTTACGGAATATGTGGTTTTAAAATTTTAGAATTATCTGGGGAACTTATGATAATCCCAGCTTTGAATTCGAAGCTGGCATTTGTTGTTGACTCCCAAATCTGCATTTTTAATAAGGCACCATAGATAATTCTGATGTTAGTAATCTGCAGACCACACTTAAACTCATCACACTGGGAGCTATAGTGAGAATCAGAGGGAGGCCAAGCACCAACTGGCCCATCCAACCCTTATTCATCCTGAGTGGCTTTCATGTACAATTTTTCTTTCAATAATGGTCTGTTGTTTAAAAAAAAGAAATTTCACAACCACTTGCCGCAGCAGAGGAACCAGGTTGCCTATTATGACATGCAGGACTTCCAGTGAGCAGGCCCCCGGCTGCCTCTCCAGTTCTACCTCTTGCCATCCTCTGCCTTGCCTTTACTCTTCGGCAATGGTGACCTTTTTTGTAGCCTCAAGAAACATCAGTCTTCTCACCTTGTTGCCGTTGCTTACATTGTCTTCTCTGGCTGAAACATATTCTCCCTCCCTCTCCAACAAGATGAGCTGCTTATTACTTAAGGAAGTGTAACAAGATGCATATACAGTTCATTAAAGTAAAAGTGAAATAGAATGAGTGATATGCATGAATTATGTCCTCAAAGAAGGGGATGTAATCCAGCCTGGAAATCCCAGGGAATGTTTTCTTGAAGGAACTGATCCTTAAATAAACATGATTATGATGGATGATGGATGGAATCTTTAGGCATTTAGCAGCAAGAGGAGACTCACTTCCTTGAATTCTTAAAAGGTTAGTGTCAATAGTTTTGTGATCTTAGTTATATGGAAATTCTTTTCTTACTTGAGATGTAACATGTCTGGGGCTGAAGATGAGTACTAGTGTTTATTCTCCCCCTGTCTGATCAGAAGAAACTCTACTTGATAGAAAAGACAGGCGCAGCAGAGGAGCTGAGGGAGTCTGCTCTTTGTCTTCCAGGAGTATTTTAAATAACACCAGCAGAACAAATCTGAACATCAGTTGACATATTTTCATTCTGAATATAGCTAAGTAAAATTTTGCTGATACTATTCTCTGTGTCTTAGTCACTCTGTTTTATAATCATCCTTTGTTACATAATCTCCTTTTCCTCTTTGTTCATGTTTCTTTAAAAATCTGGTGATTATCTGCTTTGCAGAGGTCTCAAGTTATACTAGTCAGTGACTGTGCTAGAGACTGGGCTACAGTATGTAGTTTGTTCTCAAGAAGCAAAGAGAGTTTGACAAACACACAGAGACAATAGAAACAGTGGGATAAGTGCTACTCACTGTGCTATGGTATTATACAGTTGTCTGGGGATGAAGGAGTATCAGAAAGTTTCTCTGAAAAGGTAATTATAAGGGGTCCGGGGGTCTAATAAATAAATAGCACTTCTTCTTTACCTTTGTATCTATTAAAAATTAAGACAAAATAGTAGGACCAAATTCTAGCAAACTGAGTCCAGAACATATAAAAAAGATTATACATAGTGACCAGGAAGGATTTATTCTGGAAAAGCAAGGTTGGTTTAACATAAAAAAATTATCCACCTCTGAGAGTAATGAAAATAAAAACAAAATAAACAAATGGGACCTTATCAAACTTAAAAGCTTTTGCACAGCAAAGGAAGCCATTAAAAACAAAACAAAAACACACAGAATGGGAGAAAACATTTGTAAACAAAACGATCAACAAGGGATTAATCTCCAAAGTATACAAACAACTCATGCAGCTCAATTAAAAAAAAAAAAACCACCCAATCAGAAAATGGGCAGAAGATCTAAATAGACATTCGTAAGACATACAGATGGCCAAGAGGCACATGAAACGAAGCTCAACATCACTAACTGAGAAATGCAAATCAAAACTACAGTGAGGTACCGCCTCCCACTGGTTAGAATACCCATCACCAAAAAAATCTACAAATGCTGCAGAGGGTGTTGAGAAAAGGGAACCCTCCTACACTGTTAGCAGGAGTAAATGGTACAGTCACTATGCATAACAGTACAGAGGAAACTTGAAAAACTAAAAACAGAGCTACCATATGATCCAGCAATCTCACTCCTGGGCATATATCCAGAGAAAGCCATAATTTGAAAGGATAACATGCACCCTAGTGCTCACTGCAGCACTGTTTACAATAGCCAGGACACAGAAGCAACCTAAATGGCCATCAGTTGAGAAACAGATGAAGAAGATGTGGTTCAGTTCAGTCGCTCAGTCGTGTCCGACTCTGTGCGACCCCATGAATCGAAGCACACCAGGCCTCCCTGTCCATCACCAACTCCCAGAGTTTACTCAAACTCATGTCCATCGAGTTGGTGATGCCGTCCAACCATCTCATCCTCTGTCGTCCCCTTCTCCTCCTGCCCCCAATCCCTCCCAGCATCAGGGTC